TATCCATAGAAAAATAAACACAAACTCGACAAGAAATCTTGTAATACACAAAATGAAATTGATTGGAAATGATAAATATTGTTAGAACTAATTTAGTATACATAGAACAGAAATATTAAACTTTAAGCTATTTAATTTTATTTATTTTAGACAAATTATACACTAAAGTCTCTAAACAATTGTCACATAAAGCATAGTGATAATTGGTATGATTGTATAAATTTTAATTTTACCATACATTCTGTTAAAAAAGCACATGATTCGAGACTTTAGTGTATGATTTGTCTAAAATAATATACCTAAAATATGATATGAACATTTTCTTACACTTAATTCTCTGCCCACATTGTGATGTGGATAATTTTGTTGTCAACCATAGCGTTAATTACACAGAAGGCGATTTATGCTATATTTTTTTAAATATAAAATTGACTGAGAATTATAAATATTGTTGAAACTAATCTAGGATACTCAGAACAGAAATATTAAACTTTGAGCTATTCAATTTTATTTATTTTAGATAAATCATCCACTAAAGTCTCGAATCATGTATGAATAATAACTTGCAAAATAAAAAATTTTTAAAAGTGTAGTAGATACTTACTAAGACATTCACATTCACCAACATATCACTTATTTCATTTAATACGAATTTCTAACAAATTTGGTCACCCGCACTACACTGCTCTGGATTAATAAACAGTCTTGAGTGTGCACCAAAGTAAATTGTTATATTTGTTAGACCAAATTCATTATTATTACTTTTTTTATATAACACTTTCTGATCTGAAAGGTTATTATATGTAAAAAATGTCAAATCGTAAGCGCGCGACGCGCGGCTTCTAAGCGCCATCAGCGCACCTAACGTCAGAAATCGGAAACTGGACATTTTAGCTGGACATCCTAGAAAACCTAGAAAATATGACAAATATGTCAACATTTTCGACTTCTGGATTATTATAACTTTTTTTCTACAGCACCTACAGTAAAAACAGCATACTTTTTTATTAATTTGGGTATGCGCTATCGATTGAGCCTATTATC